CACTACGTCCAAGTAAATTTAACAGGAGCCGAATTTGCTCCCGTGTGAGCCTCTGGTCTCGTATAAACAACGGCTGCCCTCCTTCCTCCCTGACGCCTGGCTTACATTGTCCAGATTTCAGAAAGTGATAGAAGGGTCACATTTACTCTACTTTAATATTGATAATTAAGTTAATTTATATGAGATGTTTTATGATGGTAAAGTCCAAAGACTAATGTATTTAAGAATAATTCCCACCATAATAGATGGTGAATTATAATAGTATGTGGTGATGATATCCCGTTTTCTTTAGACGGTAATTCCACTACAAGTTACGTTTTCTATGGGTAACTTGTTTATACAATACAGCTATTATCTGTATGATTATTAAATGGTGTCGGATTTTCCGACAAGTGCGGCCTCATATCCGGCCCGAGTGATAACCTTTTTCTTTTATTTGTCTCTTTCTTTCTCTTGCTCATGTCGACGGTGGTAATCAGTGCCCAATGGTCACTACATAAACTGTGCACAATGTGTGTACTGGCATCCGTGTCCTGTGCATTCAGCAGGAGAGCATAGTCTAATCTTCCTCCTCTGAGGTGAGGTTTTTCATCACTCAGGACTCTTAAGTTTCACTTCCCCTGACAAAGAGTGACAGTTTCCGTCCACTTACATTGGGCTGATGACAGTTGGCGCCAAAGTGTGGGTGTCTGGCATTAAGGTCACCGACCAGCAGGGTAGTTTCTTCGTTAGTAATTTCAGATAGTGTGTCAAGGTCAAGTTTATTGTGGCACGTATAGGTTGATGATATGGAAGACATTATTGTTTAAGTGAAGGGTTATTCCCCAGTGATTCATACTCATCCCCCATGTGGAGGTCATCAATATGTGCAGGTATGTTATTGCTGACGTAGGTAACAAGACCCCGTTTTCTTTCCCCAGAGGGCAGGGAGAACTTGTGATAACCGCTGTGTGAACCGCAGCGGTGTGCCTCGGGTGTTAGTCTTGTAATCCATTCCCAGATCTCTCTCTCTGCGAGTCCTCTAATGGCCTTATATTTATGGCGTAGAGTCCACTCGATCTCCTTTCTTCATTTCCCATCTTCATTTCCTTATACGTGCTGGGATTGAATTCTTGCAACCTATTTCTGCCCACTTCTGTAGTTTGTCAAGGTGTTCTGCAGTTCTCATTGTTTTTACATTTCATCTTTGTGCCGCGTGTAGACTTTGTCGTGAACTCCCTGGGTGCGGCAGTGCTTGTTCATCAGTGATGATGTGTGTTACATTCTACTGAGTGGGCCTTCCCGGTTTGGTGCCTTCTTTTGATAATTACTTAATTATTTCTACTGAGTGGAGGTATGAATGCAAGTATAACACATTAGTTATGTAATTTATTACGTATAACTTTGATAATGAATGTATTATATACATGTATCTACGTGATATTAAATGAAATAACCAACTTTGAGTGGACACTCCATGACATCCTCGCGACGCCGAAGTTTAGTAATAAACATGTACAGGTCTGCCTCTGATGATGATATTATGATGAAGAAGATGCAGGGCGGCGAGGCAGCGTGAGGCCGCACTCTCGCCTTCATCTTCACTCTCGCCTTCATCTTCACTCTCGCCTTCATCTTCACTCTCGCCTCACTCACGCTAGATAATAACCCAGCCAGATATTATGTTGTTTTCCCCTCAAGACCTTGACGAGCTGTGGAAGGTTGGTGAATGTTGTCACTCAGGGCGGGGGTCGATGGCCGCGTTATCCGGCCTACATGCAACACAACCTACCCCCCCACCCCCACCCCCTTAAAGCGGCACCACATCCCCCCCCCCCAAACGCCCAACTATAGCAAGGTCCCCCCCCCCTCCCCTCGTTTGATTAGCAATGATATCTCTCCCTCCAGATTAGCAACATAACCCCCTCTCCCCCCGCCCCAGTAGTAATATCCCTCCTGCTCGATTAGCAGGATCTCGCCCCCCCCCCCCCCCCCTCGTACAAGCTACCCTATACCATAATAAACACCTGCAGCAAGCAACAACACTTCCCTCCAAGGAAGCAAGCTCTCCGTTCAATAGACGAAACTCCTTCCTTATCAGTCCCCTCCCCACTAGCAACACTGCCCCCCCTCCACTTTGTAAGCAACACTGCCCCCCCCCTCCACTCTGTAAACAACACCTCCCCCTCCCTCCACCCTGTAAGCAACACTGCCCCCCTCCACTCTGTAAACAACACTGCCCCCCCACTCTGTAAGCAACACTGCCCCCCCTTCCACTCTGTAAGCAACACTGCCCCCCCCCTTCCACTCTGTAAGCAACACTGCCCCCCCTCCACTCTGTAAGCAACACCCCCCCCCTCCCCACCCCACTCCAAGAAACGGCATCTCTTCTCGAGAAGCTACACGTCCCCAGTACCAACAACCCCCCCCCCCCACCCTCTGCTGCTTATCTGTTATCTCACAGGGTCAGCGCACCTGGCCGGCACCAGCTCTGGTCCCTCCAGAATACCCTGGGCCTCCTCGATAAGTTGGCAAACTGCCTGTGGTGTTTGCTGACTACTTGTCCCCCTAACTCCTTTTGCCACCTCGGGGGGGGGGGGGTATAGGGTGTTTATGTAGCTTCAGGCTCCCAATCCCCCCAGCCACAGGGCATGGCGAGACGGCACCCCTAAGCATACCTAATACCCTATCAAACACAAACTAAAATACACATAAATGGCAGATCTCATCACAACCCACAAGAGTTGAGATGATGATAATAACACACAATAATAACATATAATAACATACACAAAATGGAAAATTCTTTTGTATTTCGTTTTTCTTATATGGGACACAGCACACAAAGGAAGAGGTGCACAGTGTATCATTAAATAAAGAACTAAAGCTGAAGGCAAAACAACAAGCTGCCAAAGCGGCAGGAATGGTAACTTGACAGCAGCATACATGGAAAAAAACTATTCATAGTGGAAGCTCCTAACACGGCCCCTAGGGTTGTCATGTATGTGCATGGGGTTCCCTCCGGCCGCCGCCGTACCCACTCGTGGGCTCTGGCCAGGTAATCCACCCTCTTGTGAGAAACCATTTGGAGAAGTGGTACTCCAGATGATGACTCTGCTTAGCTAGTTGGCTGACTGCTATCCTGGCTGCAGTTCACCTAAACAAGACTATGTCCAGGTCAGGGCTTTCATAGAGCAAATCTCAAGGTCGCTCTTGGTGAGTCCCATATTCTGTAGACCACGCGCACTCTCTTTGCACCATCCTCCTCTCCAATTAAGGGTTATCGAAGAGGCAGATGCTGTGTGCTTCCCGGTATATTCCCTGACCTTTCGAAGGATCTCTAGAGTGCCATACTTGTCGCACTTGCTCTGATGTGGACGGGAGAGTGGAAAGTTATCAGCTGAGACCTGGGTGTCTAATATAAAGGCCTCCTCACCTTTGCAAGCTATGATGTCAGGTTTGCAGAAAGTCCCTCCATCTGGTATACGGACTTCATGTTCCACCTCATAACCTCTTTGAAGCAGGCGGCTGGAACCGGGTAATATCGCCATGACGTTTCATCCGAGCCTCACGTGTCTTGTAGTATACCTGGGATATGTGGCCCAGGGTCCCTGGTTTCTGGCAAGCATCACAGAAACCTGAAGCCTTGAGTTTACCCCTAGCTGCTCTAGACGGAGTGGCTACAGCGTTTGCCCTAATCTGGATGGCTTGTGCAAAATCTCCTCCGCTTAGCAGACGGGTACCGGATGCGACCCACTTGGGGCAAGATGGAACCTTGCAAGAGGATGCAAGGCCGGCACTATCAACCATGCTATACAGTTTCGCTTTCCACCTCCTAGAGCGCTCAGTCGTTCTGTTAGAAGGGGTTCCGGCAGCCGTGGTCAGGTCTACCCATCAACGCATTTGCACATGGAACGCGGGTAGGAGACCCGCGGCCATTACCATTGGATCCTCTGACTCTACCAACGCCCTGAGCCGCTTGTTCTTCTGTAGGCAGGTTGATGCGGCAAAGTCGGGAATTCCTAGTCTACCGTCCTTTACGTCGGCATCAAAATAAGCATTAGGAGTATCATGAGGCAGCTGCAGCCAGCCACGAATAGCATGCCGCAGCCGCCTGTCAAACCTCGCTAATTCCGTCTTAAACACGCGTCTGAGAACAAGCCAGTGGTTCATCTTGGAGATTAGGTGGTGTTTTAGTAGGTATATAGTAGGTATAGCCTCTGTTGGGATTTGAGTGGCGCCTTGGTGATGTTAGTCAGGCCGTCCTGAAACAGGGAACCGTAGGAAAGGAGTTTGCCTCCGTCCCCGATAAGTATCCCTAAATACTTATACTCGTCCGCCACACTCATAGTACCGATTTCGTCGTCCTCGACGTAGTATGCCCTCCTGGTGGGGACATGCCACGTCTTACAATGTGCTTTGATCGCTATGCTTAGTGTATGGTATTTCGCAGCATTTACTTTAAGGCCAGAGCCACGCAGTGTGTGGCAAATACTTGTTATAAGTTTCTGTAGTCCAGCAGCCGTCTCTGCTGCCACAACCAAATCGTCAGTGAATGCCAGTGCTGATACCTTTTCGCCCCCTAGTCCAACCCCTAGCCCCACGTCCTTAGCCTTAGTAATTGCCTCATCAATTATTAGGTTGAAGAGAAATGGAGACAGTGGGTCACCCTGTTTCACCCCCCCTAGTGATGATGTCTAGCTTCGACTTCTTCCCTTGGCTGGTTATTACGGTTGAGGACCGATCATAGCCCGACATTATGAACGTCCTTAAAGGCTTCGGAATGCCTTTACGTTTCACGACCCAATGAATGGCCGGATGGGAGACGTTATTGAAAGCCTTCTCCATATCGAGAAATGCTAGGTGTGTTGTGCTTGAGCGCATGAGCCTCAGCTATGAGGGCATCCAGGATCACCAGGTTTTCCCATTAAGTATAGATAGTAAATCTTGTTATTGATGCTGGCTGGTATAATGATGCAACTGATCACACGAACATTGTTTCATAAGTATGATGATTTCAGGAAGTTGCTCTTGCGCCAAGACTTGGGTAGTGTGGTTTATCAAGGACGGTGAAGGGACGTTCGGGTCCTGCAGGACACCAGCGAGGGTGAGAGGCGCCGCATGGTTCAGTGGTGACTGTGGGACCTGAAGGAGCTCTGAGAGCACTCGCCAACTTCACACGATGCCTCACGGAGAGTATTGCGCCTCTCGTATCAGAGGCTTGTCAGTGAGGGATATTCGCTTCCCGACCTCGCTACAGTCAGACGGATCTGATGCCATCGTAAGTACTAGCGACTGATGTAATGTATTGATATATATGTAAATGTATTTAGTGTATAAATACACACTTACACACATACTTATACATTCTCACACACACACACACACACACACACTCTTACAAATACACACACACACACACACATGCGGCCCCAGCATGGAGCCTACCTTGTCAAGCACAAGACGAAGCTGGAAAAAGTTCAAAGGTATGCCACTAGACTAGTCCCAGAACTAAGAGGCATGAGTTACGAGGAAAGGCTGCGGGAAATGCACCTTACGACACTGGAAGACAGAAGAGTAAGGGGAGACATGATCACAACCTACAAAATCCTCAGGGGAATCGACTGGGTAGACGAGGATAAACTATTCAACACTGGTGGTACATGAACAAGGGGACACAGGGGGAAACTGAGTACCCAAATGAGCCACAGGGATGTTAGAAGGAAATTTTTCATTGTCAGAGTAGTTAATGGATGGAATGCATTAGGCAGTAATATGGTGGAGGCTGACTCCATACACAGTTTTAAATGTAGATACGATAGAGCACAGTAGGCTCAGGAATCTGTACACCAGTTGATCGACAGTTGAGAGGCGGGACCAAAGAGCCAAAGCTCAACCCCCACAAGCACAAATAGGTGAGTACACAGCACAAGAAGTGAACCCAGATGTAATCGGACTCGCAGAAACAAAACTCAGAAATCGTAACAAATGCGGTGTTTCCCAGTACTAAACTGTAATAAGGAAAGAGAGGGAAGTAAGGGCGAGGAAGTGGAGTGGCCCTACTAATAAAAAAGGAAGCGAGTTTCAGGAGATGGTCATCCCGGGCTGCGAGGGATTCGGAGACTACATAACAGGCACCATGACAATGGGAGGACCAAAAGTAGTAGTAACAAACCCTCCACCAAATGACAGAAGACCCAAGGCAAGAGTATGACAACAACAACATGGCAGTTAACACTATAATTGAGAGGGCAGCCTCTGCTGCCTGTAGAAATAGATCCCATTTGCTCATCATGGAGGACTTCACTCATGGAAGGGATAGACTGGGAGAACAAGGAACCGCATGGAGGAGAGATTACATGGAGAGCCAAACTAATGGACGTGGCGACAAGGAACTTTCTAAGCCAACATGTCAGGGAACCCACAAGGATGAGAGGAAACAATGAACCAGTGAGACTCGACCTAGTCTTTACTCTGAACGACTCCGACATAAGGGAAATCGGTTTTGAGGCCCCAGTAGGAATGACCGACCACAGTGCACTGGTGTTTAATTATCTGGTTGAAGAAGGATTATTGAACTCGAGGAGGAGTACTGAAAACAAAAGGCTGGCATTCCGAAAGAGAAAATATGAGGAGATAAGAAAATTCCTAATAGATATAACATGGAAAACAAAGCTCAGGGGGAAAAACGGCCCAAGATATGATGGACTACATCACACAGAAGTGCAAGGACGCAGCAAACAAGTTTGTGCCAGTCCAAAAGGAAAACAATGAAATGAAGATGAGAAACCAATGCTTTAATCAGAGATGTAGGCTAGCTAAGCAGCAAAGTAAAAGGGCGTGGAGAAATTATAGGAATAACAGGACACTTGAGAGCAGAGAAAGATACCGGAATGCCAGGAATGAATGTCAGGGTGAGAAGAGAGGCAGATAGACAATACGAAAATGACATGGCAAGCAAGGCAAAGACTCAACCTAAATTGCTGCACAGCCACACCAGGAGAAAAACAACAGTAAAGGAACAGGTAATGAAATTAAGGATAGAGGCAGAAGGATTCACTACAAACGACAAGGAAGTGTGTGAGGAACTGAATAAGAAATTCCAGGAGGTCTTCACCTTAGAGCAAGGAGAAATTCCAGAGATAAGAGAGGAAATAGTTAACCGGGAACCACTAGAAGAGTTTGAGATTACCAGTGGGGAAGTAAGAAAGTTTTTACTTGAGTTGGATGTGACAAAGGCTATAGGTCCAGATGGAATCTCCCCTTGGATACTAAAAAAAGGAGCAGAAGCACTGTGCCTGCCACTCTTCATAGTGTATAACAAATCACTGGCAACAGGGGAACTGCCAGAAATTTGGAAAGGAGCTAATGTAGTCCCGATGTACAAGAAAGGGGGATAGACAGGAGGCACTGAGCTACAGGCCAGTGTCCCTAACCTGCATACCATGCAAGCTGATGGAGAAGATTGTGCGAAGAAAGCTAATGGAACATCTCGAGCGAAAGAACTTTGTAATACAGCATCAACATGGGTTCAGGGATGGCAAGTCCTGCCCCACAGGGTTAATTGAATTCTACGATCAGACAGCGAAAATCAGCCAAGAAAGAGAGGGGTGGGCAGACTGCATATTTTTGGACTGCCAGAAAGCCTTTGATACAGTACCATACAAGAGACTAGTGAAAAAAATGGAGATGGAGGCTGGGGTGAAAGGGAAGATACTCCACTGGATAAGGGAGTACCTAAGCAACAGAAGACAACGAGTCACAGGGAGGGGGTGAGGTCTCAGATTGGCGAGACGTCACAAGTGGAGTCCCGCAGGGGTCAGTCCTTGGACCTATACTGTTTCTGATATATGTAAATGATCTCCCAGAGGGTATAGACTCGGTTTCTTTCAATGTTTGCTTTTGATGCAAAATTCATGAGGAGAATTGAAACAGGATGATAGTAGGAGGCTACAAGATGACCTAGACAGACTAAATGAAATAGTCCAACAAATGGCTGCTAAAATTCAACCCGTGTAAATGTAAAGTAATAAAACTCGGCGGTGGACACAGGAGGCCAGACACAAGATACAGAATAGGAGATGAAGTATTTCATGAAAAGGACAGAGAGAAAGATCTAGGAGTTGATATCACACCAAACCTGTCTCCTGAAGCCCACATAAAAAAATTGCGTCTGTGGCATATGCGAGGCTGGCTAACATCAGAACAGCCTTCAGGAATCTGTGTAAGGAATCATTCAGAATCTTGTATATCACATATGTAAGACCAATCCTGGAGTATGCGGCCCCAGCATGGAGCTCATACCTTGTCAAGCACAAGACGAAGCTGGAAAAAGTTCAGAGGTATGCCACAAGACTAGTCCCAGAACTAAGAGGCATGACTTACAAGGAAAGGCTTCGGGAAATGCACCTTACGACACTGGAAGACAGAAGAGTAAGGGGGAGACATGATCACTACCTACAAAATCATCAGGGGAATTGACAGGGTAGACAAGGATAAACTATTTAACACTGGTGGTACGCGAACAAGGGGACACAGGTGGAAACTGAGTACCGAAATGCGCCACAGGCACATTAGAAAGACCTTTTTTCAGTGTCAGAGTAGTTAACAGGTGGAATGCATTAGGCTGTGATGTGGTGGAGGCTGACTCCATACACAGTTTCAAATATAGATATGATAGAGCCCAGTAGGCTCAGGAATCTGTTGATTGACGGTTGAGAGGCGGGACCAAAGAGCCAAAGCTCAACCCCCGCAAGCACAACTAGGCGAGTACACATAGTCGTCAGTGAGTAGTGGAGGGAGACACTAGGGTCGGGGCAGCGGTCCGTGAATTAGCATAGTATCTTGGGATATCTTAGTGTCAAAGAGCCCAAAACATAGTTTTGGTCCTGGGCAGTGTACAACTACAAAGTGTATCATAGTAAATTCTTAGAACGTTAGATAAGAAAAATTAAAGAAGAACGAGTCTTGACAACACAGTGCCACAGCGAGCAGTGCAGTGTGGGCCACGTGGGGATGAACGGCACTGGTGGGCAGCCGACTCAACCCCGATATACAGACATCAATAAAATTCACCGAGGTTGTGCTTGGCGGGGGAGCTGGCGGTGAGTACCCTCTCTAGGTCATCGATAAGGTGTACAGATTGATTTTAAATATTAATTTAGAATATATCATAGTTCTATAAAAGCCAGAGTATAGAGGTTCTTATCAAACTAGTGTCTGCGACTCGAGGAAAGGGGAAGGCCGGGTCATGCACACGCACGCACGTACATGTATGCACACACATCTCTCCCTCACTCTTGGTGAGGGTCTGGATTGGCAGACTCAGACATCGAGGTGTGATGTGACCATCCCCATCCTCTCCCACCCCTCAGTTTCCCCCATGCCTTCCCCTTCCAAACATACAAGCACACACAAACATATCCCTCCCCACTCTCTCCCTCCCTCTCATCCCCACACCTATCTTTCTTACTCTCACCTCTTCTCCATCCCTTCCTCTCCCTCTCCCTCACCACTCCTCCCTCCCTCACCACTCCTCCCTCCCTCCCTCCCTAAACCACACCACCACCCAACATACTCACAAAGAAACACACGCACACGCACACCCATAAATATAAAGATAATCGCTAAAAACTCTATTTGACCTGGCAAGATTCGAACCCCATGCCGTCAACGAATACCCCTAAACGTACACAGTACCGTGAACACCGCACCAATGATCGTCTATCATTGCTGGTGGTTCATCTATCATTTGACCCAGAATCCTGGCCGGATCAAATAGCGTTCTTAGTGATCTATGTCTTGCGCGTCCATGCAGCTTTGTCACATAATAAAAGACTGTGGTGATACTATCTAATCTGTATCGACATCGAACTCTTGTTATACATTGTTTATCCAGAGCGGCTTTGTCTTATTCCTTCTCCCACAGATAAGCGTAAATTTCTGTTTCTCATTACTGTAATTCCTTCAAGATGCTCCATCCTCCTCCTTCTCTCTTGCTCCTTGGATAGCCTTTTCTTCCATCAATGTCTCCTCATTCCTTGAATATGAGGTAAATATGAATATCGGTTACTTTTGACAGCACCCGGACCCGGACTACTCGTGTGCCTACGTCGTCCTCTTCACCGACACCAACTTCAAGGGACACGGCCTCGCCTTCACCATAGGCCGAGGCACCGAGCTGGGTGAGTGTGTTGATGGGTATTCCAGCGCCACGAGGCCTTAGCCTTTGGCTGGTCAGCCAGGTGTTGCTTATCTCTGCCTTAGTCTGGATTACGAAGATGGTGAATGAGTGACGTTTGTTTCAATATGGTAATGTCCAATGTGTTTAACAACAATTTCTGCATTGTTAAATGCCAGTGGTAATCTTATTTGGGTAATGTTCCGTTGTGGTGAAACGCCAAACATCTGTCTGGCGTTTGGCCACATTGCTGACATTGTCTCTTCTCTTCTGGAACCTCTCGACCCATTTCCTTATGTACATGAGTATCCAAGCTTGTTGAGGTGTATTTGTACCTCTGTTGTTTTATTATTCCCTTGCAACAGAATAATTGGTTCATAGTTTGTTGAACGATACAGTTGATGTGTTATGGTCACTGCATCGTTATGCAGTGCTCTGTTTCCACAGTCTCTTCTTGACTGTGCCATGTCTTCATGCCAATTCAGTTGATTATTCTTGTTCATACACCCAGCTGATAATTGCTCGACTAAGTTAACGTTTGAGTATATGTATTATAGATACACAATTTGTAATCAGATGGTTTTTGCACTTAAATACTCTTGTTGCAAGGTATGAGTGGCAGTTCTCGAACCTGTATGTATGGTGATGTGTCGTTGCTGTTTATTATGTGCGTGTGTTGATCATTTTTGAATTGTTAGCTTCTGTGTTTGTAGAGTGGAACACCAGTTTGAGAACCTCCAACTAACTATTGAATTTCCTGGATTAAACGCAGGTCCAGCTGCGTCTCTCTCCTATTCTACTGATACGTCTGTGTAGTGTGCGAAGCTGCCGGATAACAAATTTGCTTCTATGTTAATGCGCAGCAGATGGGGTTGGTCTGATTTTTTTTCCTTGAAGAACGAATATTTATAAGTCTGCTGGCATCGATGACAATATCATATCCAGATCTGCGTGTATGTCATTGACACCTTTGTCATTTATGGTCTTTTTGATCGTAAAGTACATAAGAACATAAGAACAAAGTCAACTGCAGAAGGCCTATTGGCCCATACGAGGCAGCTCCTATTTATAACCACCCAATCCCACTCATATACTTGTCTAACCCGCGCTTGAAACAATCGAGGGACCCCACCTCCAGCACGTTACGCGGTAATTGGTTCCACAAATCAACAACCCTGTTACTGAACCAGTATTTACCCAAGTCTTTCCTAAATCTAAACTTATCCAATTTATACCCATTGTTTCGTGTTCTGTCTTGTGTTGATACTTTTAATACCCTATTAATATCCCCTTTGTTATGTCCATTCACCCACTTGTAAACCTCTATCATGTCACCCCTAACTCTTCGCCTTTCCAGTGAATGCAACTTAAGCTTTGTTAATCTTTCTTCATATGAAAGATTTCTAATTTGGGGAATTAACTTAGTCATCCTACGCTGGACACGTTCAAGTGAATTTATATCCATTCTATAATATGGCGACCAAAACTGAACGGCATAATCTAAATGGGGCCTAACTAGAGCAAGATATAGCTTGAGAACCACACCAGGTGTCTTGTTACTAACGCTGCGATTAATAAATCCAAGTGTCCGATTTGCCTTATTACGAACATTTATGCATTGATCCTTTTGTTTTAAATTCTTACTAATCATAACTCCCAGATCCCTTTCGCAATCCGACTTCGCAATCTCAACACCATCTAGCTCGTATCTTGTAACTCTATCATTACCTAACCTCAGAACTTTACATTTATCAGCATTAAACTGCATTTGCCAATCCTTCGACCATTTCAAAACCCTATCTAGATCTATCTAAGTACTTGTTTTTAATGCAGTGTGTCTTCACCCGTTGCTCTTAGTCCCTCCTTCCCCTGAGTTGGTGCTCCTTTGATTACATGTTTAAGTGCTCTGTTTCACTGTTTCTTGGTCTCGTCAATATCTTGATCAGTGTGCATGCAGCAAGCCCTTTTATTCTCATTTCCATCACTGGTTTGATTTCCAGTCTAGAGCTTAGTGTTTTAGTCCATCTGGGAGCCCTCGCTATGACTCATTGCATAGTTTTGAGTAACCTCAACATTAGTCCATTAGCTAAGGAAAAAGGCGAGTAAGGCCAGCAATACGCAAGAGCGAATTGGCATGTGTGCAAAGCATTTTTAACACTATCCCGCTCCACCGAGACAAAGCCTGAGATTATTCTCGTAATGTAGTGAAGGAGCGGCGTCAGTGTGAAGGTGACTTTCCAGGCTGGCAGTGAAGACCACATTGCAGTGTTAAACATTACTTAAAACTTGGACCACTGACTTGTGTAGTTGAGCTGGGTGGGAATGCCAACAGCTCTCAACAGCTATCAACAATGTAAAATGCCTAGAGCAACAGACACAAAATCTTGATCTTGCCAGATATAGGTGATGTCTGACTCAACATGGTGGTGCTAGGGATCATAGATCGGTAACATCGTTTATATGATGTGGTGCTAGTATGGGCAGGAGATCCTTTTGTGGGATTTACATGGCAAAGTTTGCAAATATGAGGGAAAATGGATTTCCTGAAAACACCATGTGCTTAACCTACGAATTTATTCACTAAATTAGAACTCCAAACTATATACACATGGAAATATTGATAATTGTTTTTACTATAAAAGGTGTCGTGTACAAATCTATGCACAATATTGTCTTTCTAACGATACCCCGATGACGTAACCCAACCTAACTTAATATGAACACCTCGAGCAATAACGGCTGCCTGGACACCACTGCCGTATGAAATGGACCATTTGGAGCTCAAAATAATAATCAGTCCTTTTCAATGCCAAGCTTCACCAAGAATGATGAGATGGACCTCAAAGCGAGATATAGCTGAATTCGTGCCTCATATCGCTGAATCTGGAATTCTTCACATAGGGCACCAATTAGAATGCTGTTTCATCCATACACAACCCTGGGTTTTTCTGATATGTAGGTCGGAGTTAGGAGGAAAGGTTATTAGACCCGTTGGTGAAGGTCAGATCACTCCTGATCCTCCTCACTACCTGGCACATTCTCGCTCCTTCCAAAATGGTGATGAACTCTACCTATGAATATACAGCCGAGATGTATAAATTGCTTTCTGTTAGTATAACGTTCAGACGGGTAGTGGAGAGCGCGTTCCTTTGTGGTATCCTTGTACTTACCTGTCAGTGACTAAAAGGAAGTAAGGTCAAGCTATTTATGCCCTGCCTTCTAACCTTGTTGCACCCACTGCATTTAAGCTTTACTATTCTAATGATATCTTTGTCGAACCTTTCCTCAAAGGTGTGAATGGAGGTGACTTTCACAACTTCTCATAGTACATTCCTCTTCCTGACCACCCGTACATTGTACGAGTATTTCCTTACACTTCTTAGACTTATTTGCGTTTCCGGCTTCCACTTGTGACCTCTTGTCCTGCGTTCTCTCCTAAAGAGGCTGTCCTTGTCTATTCCCCTCCGAATTTTGTACATTGTCATCATATCTTTTTTCTTTGTTTTCTGTTCTCCTAGATTTGAAGTTCAATTTTTTCAGCCTATCTTCATAACTTAGCCTTCTGAGCTCTGGCACTAATCTAGTATTAAACCTGTGCACTTTATCGATTTTTATTTTTGTTTCACAAGGTATGGATTCCAAGCAGGTGCTTCATATTGCGGTACTGGTCAAACAAAAGCTGTGTAGATTGCTTTGAACATGTCCCGATTTAAGTGTCTAAGCTACTTTTTAATGTTTGCCAGCGTCCCATACACTGTCGATGTCACCTTGCCTGTGTGTGCCTGTGTTTGGGATGAAATTATATCTACTCAAATTTCTCTCTCTCTCATATTCCTGCAATTGCCTTCCATTAATGGTGTAGACACCTCTCTCCCTTTCTCATCTTCAGTACCTTACACTGATTAGGATTGAAAACCAGCAACCATTTGCTTGTCCACTCCTGGAGTTTAAGGTCATTTTGTAATAGTCTGCGGTCCTCTTCTGTTTTTACATTTCTTATTATTTTGGCATCGTCTGCAAACATTGATATGTACAAGCTCACTCCCTCGGGGTAGATCATTAACATAAATTAGCAACAGTAGTGGTCACATGACCGATCCTTGAGGGACCCACATGTTATATTTCCCCAGCTGGAGACCTCACCTCTGACTGTGACTCTTTTCACAGTCAGAGGTGAGGCTCTGTCCTTTAGGTAATCCCTTGCCTAGTTTAGTGTTTTTCCAATTATACCAGCCTGCTTCTCCATCTTGTTCAAGAGCCTTTCGTGAAGAATAGTATCAAATGACTTTTGATAGTCTAGGAAAATGTAATCTACCGAGCCTTGTTTTTCCTGTCATATTCTAGTAACCTTCTCATACAACTCAGTCTTGTCAGGCATAACTTTCCATTTCTAAATCCATGCTGTTGTTCTGTTACAATGTGGTGATTCTAAGGACCAACGTCCTCTGTACAGGTCTTCAGCTTGGTGGTCTGGTCAACCAGGCAGTTGGATGCAGCTGCTTACAGTCTGATGTATGAATCACAGCCTGGTTGATCAGGCATTCCTTTCCAGGTGGTTATCAAGTTCTCTCTTGAACACTGCGAGAAGTCGATTAGTTATGCCCCTTATGTTTAGGGGGAGAGTGTCGAACAGTCTTGAGACCTTGATGTTGATAGAATTCTTTCTTAGCATATTTATTGCGCTTTTGCTCTTCAATTATGCAACCTTGAACGTTGTCATGCCTCTTGGTCTAACGTAAATATTTAAGTGTGCAGGAACCAGTCCCTCTAATATTTTCTAAGTGTACTCTCTCGCTTACACTCTATGAAACAAAAATTTAAAAATTTTAAGGAAACACAAT